CCCCAAAACCCCAAAACCCCAAAACCCCAAAACCCCTGGAATTGCCTCAAATGTTGAAATATCTTAATATCTTACTTCTCTTGCGAGAATCTTTGGATTACTCCATCCATCATTTTGGCTACATTCTTCTCAACTTTCTCTTTATCTAGACTGTTAAAGTAGATCAAACCATTTGACTCTAAGTCCATTTGCATTTCATGGTCTAGGTCTAAAATATTGTATTTCAAGTTTTTCAGTATTTCCTCTTCTTCGGCTATAACTTATCAGATTTCTATGTACCCATTTGGTTTATCCTTTCTTCGTTGGCATCAATTACATCTACAGGTGATATTGACTATACCTTTTCTCTGTTGGGTTCCAGAGTACTCAATTTTACGCAGATCAAGCACGTTGAAAACCTTTATTTCTTTTCCAATATCTAAAGTTGTTAGGAAAATTACCTTTGTTGTTCTTTATAAGCCCTTCATGAGTTCTACAATTTGCTACAGTGATTATGCAAAAATTACCTTCAGCTTGGATAGCTTTGTCTCAAGGTGCTTCTTTTTGATCTATTTGGATAAATTATTCTGAGTTTTAAACATTTAAGAGAAATTTGAAGCCACTTACTTTTCTTGCCTCAATTTTTCTACTCAATCCTTCATTTTCTCCTGTACATAAAACGTTATTATGAACATTTAGAAGATATTTATATATTAAAGGATAATAAAAGCTGTCTTTGAGTATATTTTGAGTAATATATCCTATTTTCCCTCAGAATTGAGTTTGGTAATATTCTTTGCATTTCCCCAGATGAAAATAACCCATGTTTATATCTACCTTTAGCAGCCTGTATAGCGATATAAAGCCTATCTGCTTGTCTATTTCCCCTCTTTGCCTCATAATTGATCTTGCAAGGTTTGATTCCTCTTATCTAGCTTGGTCTCCATACCTGAAGGTTAATAATTAAGTACTTTGAATTTTGTTCTTCCAGTTATTTTATTATGGTCTTGAGCACAGTTTTTTCTCTGTTGTTGTACACTGAAGGAGCTATCGATGCCTGGGCTATACATGTAGGTGAAGAAGGATAAAGAGCCTTAGCACAGATTTTGAGGTAAGATAGGCGTACCTTTAGAGTCCTTTAGTGCAACAGAGAAGGAAAGCGTTTGCTTCTTCTTCCCTCTTGATACCCTCTTTTGCTTCACTCTCAACTCCTTTTTATTGAACATGACAGGCTTTTTGATTGATCTATTATTTGGAGATTGAGAGGCATGAACTATCTATGGCATGATTAAGGAAGTAATACAGAAACAGAGTGCATAGTCTCCTCTTCAATAAATTGAGCAGTCTGCCCAAAATCATTGACTTTAGAGAATATTGAAGTAGAGAAATCTCATTTGTTTTGAGTTTTTCTCTGATAATAATGAGAAGAAGGTCTCTTCCTCCGGCTATCTTTAGTCGAGGTGATGCTTTCTTTGGCTTTTTGGTTATTAGGCTTTGATTTTAGAGGCTTTCTAGCAAACATGCTGGTTCTTTGTCTTGCTGTCTTTGGTCTGAGTATCTTCAAGAGCATTCTTGCATGCTTTTCGTTCAAATTTGAAATCATTTAAAATTATTTCATTTATTTATCTATCGTGGGGTTTTGGGGTTTTGGGGTTTTGGGGTTTTGGGG